ACAGCTTTAGAATGTTCTGTGAAGGCATCACCTCCACCCGGAGGCTGCCAGATTGCAGATAGCACTAGCTAGAGGTACAGGTGCAAACCATATGGCGATAAAACTACCAGACGGCAGCTACACCAAAAATGAGGAAGAGAGGGCCCTGGCCCTTCTGACCACCCACTTCCCTGGAGCATTGACTACGGTAGCAGAGGATAGTGATGAATATCATAAACCGGCATCGGAAGACTGAAAGACGGCAAAATGCCTGTTCACCTGGCCGACCGTACGTTGGGCCATCGATTCGTTTGAGCCCTACAAAACCCCTGGGGTGGACGGCATATGGCCGATTTTACTCCAGAAAGAACTGGAGGTAACACTCTGTGCGTTTTTAGACATTGAAGGAGCCTTTGATAACACCTCAAACGACGCAGTAGATCGAGCTCTAGAGAGAAGGAACGTAGCCATCCCGATATGGATCAGTACAATGCTGCGAACACGACTGGCAGAGACCGTAGCTGACAATAAAATCATACAGTTGATGACGGTAAAAGGCTGCCCGCAGGGTGACGTACTGCCTCCTTTGCTTTGTCCGTAGTCCTGAGCAGACTCTAAGGTGACTCCACCCATCGCAGGCATTACACTTGACTGAGGTGGAGTTGTGGTGTAGTCGTCTCCGGCATACACAGCAGGTGTAGATTTCTGGCCCTGGGTTTGACTCGATGCCAGCCCTGAGTGGAAGAATACGTAGTGAATGTAGCCCTATGGACGAACAACTTCTGAGATACTTCGCCGACCTAAACGGGGTTTAAAAAATATCGCGTGCCCTGCTAACTTCCACGGATAATTTACGGCAAATTATTAAATAGTTAGTTTGGGTTTAGCTGGTTTCCTTAACTAACATCCACGGAAGTTAGCAGGGCACGCGATATTTTTTAAAATGTGTCCGCGGCAAGATAATTCTTTTCACGGATAAACAACGGATAATTTACGGCAAATTATCAGATAGTTAGTTTGGGTTTAGCTGGTTTCCTTAATTGGTTTTCAGAAGGTGCCCTGCTAACTTCCGTGGATATTTTTTAAAATATGTCCGCGGCAAAATTATTCTTTTCACGGATAAAAAACGGATAATTTACGGCAAATTATCAAATAGTTAGTTTGGGTTTAGCTGGTTTCCTTAATTGGTTTTCAGAAGGTGCGATATTTTTTAAAATGTTTCCGCGGCAAGATAATTCTTTTCTCGGATAAAAAACGGATAATTTACGGCAAATTATTAGATAGTTAGTTTGGGTTTAGCTGGTTTCCTTAATTGGTTTTCAGAAGGTGCCACGGAAGTTAGCAGGGCACTCGATATTTTTTAAAAAAATTAAAAAATTATTCTTTTCACGGATAATTTACGGATAGTTCACGCATAATTAACGGCAAATTATGCGATAGGAATTTTTGCTTTGAGAAAAAGTTGTCCTGCCCACTTCAGAGAGGTTAAATTTAAGTTGCTCTTGTTACCGACTAATGACATGCTAAATAGTGCAAAGGTACATTATTACCTGTTCCTGACATTAGGAGTGTTCGCTATGCAACTGCCAGTAAGAATTAGCCAGTAACAAAATTCAGAGAATAAGGTACCTTATAGGCAATTTACATGATTCAACTTTCGCAGGAGATTAGTTGAATCAAAAGTTGAACGAAAGTAGGCAGCCGACCAACTTTATTGAAAGCGATTAGTTGAAAGGCTGTTTACACCAGGCGATTGTTGTTTTCAACTAAAAATCGCCTGAAAATTCGCCTCATGTAAATTCCCTATTACTCTCCCAAAAAGAGAAACTTACTAAGTTTTGCGCGAACAGGAATTAGCAAACATTTGCAAGCTTCACTGCCAGCTGGCTTCCACGGTTACATTTCGAGCATATTTTTTTTGATTATTTCAGGGAGAAACCAAAACAGGACGTATACGTATATTTCTTCTTATTCTGACTTTCTTCAGCATACGCTTCAATTTATTTGTGGAAGTCACTGTCGGATTTCCTATATCGACCGTGGTGTCGAGTGCTTTCCGATTACTAATACAGCTTTTTCAGCTGAGTACCTTTCAAATGTTTGGAATTGTAGCAATCTCGCTTCACAATGCCCTTTATTTGTTATCAGTATTGCCAAGCTAGTATTAATGTTACATTCCACTTATTTCTATGGTGGTGTTGCCACCAGTCTACTATACGTACATTTGGTTATATTACATGGTGTTTACACTACAGCTCGGCCAATCTGACTTAAAAGCAGATCGACCCCGATTGGTCTATATAATTATTATGCATAAGTACTTATAACTTAATCGTTTACCTACTCTTCGGTAGTGTCGCTTTCATTCGCACCCTCTGTACCTTTATTTCTCCATAGCTTGATGTTACAGGCTTCTACAATACCCACATAGGGTATTTGGGTAATTTGTCCGTTCTCAATGTCTCTAATTACGTATCGGTCATTTGGGAGCTTCTTGTGTATGATATACGGTCCCTTATATTTTGGCAGAAGTTTCTTATTGACACCCACCGTTGTGTCCACGTTTTTTATCACGACGAAATTCCCTTCCTCAAACGTCTCTACCCTCATCTTCTTCTGCTCACTTCGACTTAAGTTATATTTTTGCAATTTTTTCTTCAGCACTATTTCGCAGAGCATCCAAATCCCTCCCC